TTCAACTTAGTGCATGTACTATGTGAGTTATTGTGCCAAAATTCTTTACAATACAATCAAATGTCAAGAGTATGAACTCATCTAGTACATGAAAAAACAAATCACCTTTGACAAAGTAATAAAGCTTTTCAAATGTTACACTTTAATGATCAATGAGCTAACCTGAAGTGAATGCTTCAAATACTGATATGTTGCAAGAACAAATCACAGAAGACTTAGTAGGGATTTTTGGAAACGACATCAACAATGACAAAAAGCACAAGATTCAGGGGTTTATATTGTCTTGGCGAAGTAGTCACTCGTAACTCATATCTCCAAGAATTGACGACTAAGGATTCAGTGTTTTCAAAATTCAATTTTTTTTGTGCGTGAGACATAACTACGTGCTCTCATGGAAAAGCACGTAGTTATGTCAGCACGGATCTTCAGTCACGATTAGAGCAATTGATTCCTGAAGAGCAATCGCGCTTGAAAGATTTGAAGTCCAATTATAGGAAAAACTCGTTGGACGACATCACCTTCAACATGGCCATCGGTGGCATGCGTGGGATAAAATACATTATGTGGGAGACGTCTCTGTTGGACTTCGATGAGAGTATCCGCTTCAGGAACATGACCATTTTCAAGTGCTAGGCTAAGCTTTTCGCGGCGATGGCCAAAATCAAGTCTTTGCTCAAAGGCCTATTCTGGTTGTTGATCACCGGCGAAGTTCCCTAGAAAGAGCAAGTCAGTGCTTTGACGTAGAATTTCCAAGACCAATTGCAAACTCACGTTTTTGATGTGCTTGACACGTTGCCCATTACAGCGCACTCCATGACGCCAATTCACCATCGGCATACTCGCTCTCTAGACCTCTTGACTAAGGATTCAATGTTTTCAAAATTCAATTTCCTAGTGCGTGGGACATAACTACGTGCTATTCTCGGGAAAGCACGTAGTTATGTCAACACGAATCAGAGTGGGTTTTAAACCCACGCTTACGTGACACTTATACATCACTTACGTAGCAAGTATGATGATGATCGTGACTCATCCTTGCCAGGTAAGTGGTGGGAGAGGTCCTTGTTCTTTGCAGTTTGACTATAAATTTCAGATTTTGTACATAAGCTTTGAAGTTTCCAAAACATAGTTGTAAATGAAACATGTTAACAACTTTGTTCTCTTGTTTGAAACCTAAAGTTGCAAGACGCAATTGATTGATTATATTGTATAGCTTCACATTGACTTAAAGGTTAGAATGAAGCCCATTGATTCGCACTCTTTTTTTTGCTTCTCGTTCAGCGGCATTACTTAAAGGCGGATTGTTTGAATTATGTGAAACTAGATCCGATGGCGCCTCCATAAAAAAATAATTGTGCTTGGATTTTTTTTATATTGTTATTTAAACTATCAGAGGAGCAAAATCTATAACATGCAAGTGGATGTTTAGACTAAAGAAGCCCATAATGATTTTGCAACCTGCCTTACATCCAAGACGATTCCAACAAGAAGAAGGTAAAGATTACATTTGATACCTTTGCTCTTGTCGTGAAATATTCCACGTTGAAATATGTAGTTGTCATCATTATTGCATGCGGATGAGCAATTTGTCACATGGATGTCAAAATTACTTTCTTAAATGCTCTTATTTTAAAATTATATATGTAAAACAATCAACTTGATTTATTAGTAGAGGGCTTGAGTACCTTGTATGTAAACTTGATAAATGTTTTAAGCTTTAAGACAAATTCAAAGTACTTAATACAAATGTAATTTTAAGACTATCAAGTTCAATACGATATAACTCAAATCCTAACCTTTATATTTTAAGTAGGATTTTTTCATAGTTCTACTGATGCTCTATGTAAACAACAAGTACATAACAAGAAAAAATTTATTCAAAATCTATAAGTTTAACTGAAATTTAATGTGTCAATATGAAATACATGATTTAAAAGAAATTCAAAAATATTTAAAAGTAGTTTTCAATCATCACAAAGATAATTACTTCATAAGAAGTTTTATATCATCAAGATTTCAAAATAGTGTAATATGCTCAATTATAGATCATTCACATTAATAATTAATGCTAGTAAATATTTGACACAAGATACTAGCATTCATTGTGTATAATCTACATTTTACAAATATCTTGTTGGCTTTTTGTTCTTAACTTCATGTTCAATATTTGTTTTTTTGAGGTATAACTCTCTTAGTTTAAGTTAGCATTTTAGTAAGCTCATTCCAAAATTGGCTTTGAAAATTGCATTACCTCAAAAATACTTAAAACTATGGAATATTATTCAAATGAGTTTATCTATTGGAATTGAAAGAATACAAAGATGCAAAGTGGGAGTTTTGTAAAGACATATACAAGTCTACCGTTGCCTACGCTTTTACACTTGCTGGAGGGGCAGTACTTTGATGTTGTAAAAAGTAAAATTTAATTTTATTCTTCTCTATATAGATATCGAGTAAAAAAATTGTTTTTTGATGCACATGAGGCCATTTGATTACGTCAACTGCTACATGAAATCAACCTAATCACAATGACATCAACAATTCTCTCATGCAAAGACATTAAGGTGACTTTTGTTATTTTTATTCATAATTCATAGCTTATTTTACAACAATTTACTATGACAATGAGACTGTTATAAAACTTGCCAAAAATCTAATTTTTACGCGACAAGTATTCACATAGTTATTGAACCGAGTAAGATCATAGTTTGATTTTTCTTCACAAAATTATAGCGAACAGATATGCTAACAAAGGTTTTTCCTATGCTAATGTTTAGCCAGCACAAGCGATTATTTTAGCTACAAAGTCAAGCAGCTCTACACAAAAAAATCTTTGTTGAGTACAATCTTTCGCCATATTGTCTTTGCTAAAAAAACTGTTTGTACTTCTCTCTTGTCTTGAACACTCTATGCAAGTTTCCAAGAAACTTACATTAGTTACCTCTCCAAGACTTGTGTCAAGGGGGAGTTGGATAGGTTAATTCTATCTTGGATTATCCCAAGTTAGTTGTAACCATGGTTAAGAAGTTAACTATGATTAGGTTATGTTAGGTTAAGTATTATGTGCATCTTATCTCTTCTTGTATAGAAGAGAGAATTTGACTTTCTCTGCGTACAGTTTAGGATAGCATCGATAGAGTGAAGGAGTTGGAGTAGCGCTTGGCTATGGAAGCCGTGTAATCATCCGTGCTTTAGTGAAGTTCTGCTCTTGCCAGTGGACGTAACCTGTGAAAGGTGAACCACGTTATCTCGGTGTTGTGATTGTCGTGCGTGTTGGTCGATCTGGATGAGGGGGTCTTTCATCAATTGTGTCAAAACTATTTTTTTGATTTGTTGATTGCAAAACAGCTGCAACTTGATTAAATAAATATTCAAGTAAAGTATATGTGTGACAACAAGATAAAATTAAAAATATGTAATTTATTGTGATTTCCAAATTTGAGTTTGAATGGTTGTTAGAATTGTGATAATAAAACAAAAACATTACTCGCTATCATGAAATTTTATTGGTATAGATTGAGTTAAAAACTATGAATCTAGATATACCATCAATAACTTTTTATACTAAATTTAGTGTTTTCAAAACTCAAATTGTAGATAAAGATTAATGGCAAATGAGACAATTAAAATCAAAATAGACCTTTTTTTACTTTTGAATCAAAAATAGGAGGTTGGGGTAGCGAGCCCCACAAGCAAGTACTCGACTCATTTGGCGGTTATGCACATATTTTACAATTTTTTTGTTGCTTTTAATGCTTATTTTGATGATGAATTTCAAATTCAATAAAGATGACTTTCAAGGTTAAACTTAATCTTGTACTGTTTGATTTTTTGTTGTCAAGCTAGTTTAACTAGTTATGACTAAATATTAACTATCAAATCTCTATTTGATAACTACAAATAACTACAAGACATTTAAATTTATGGTAAGTATAATTATTTTATATCTTATCATAATTTTGATATCAATGCAAAAATAATCTGATTACATCATAAAATTTTATTGGTTAGACTATGTATAAAGTTCTATTTAGAGTGAAGTGTAAGTTTTAAAAATTTTGAAGTTCTTAATTTTGAGTTCATGTCACAATTTCAACTCGTAACAAATTTATTTTTTTAAATATTTAAGTAAACCAATAATTATTTTCATTTACTAATATACCTTTTAAATAAAAAAAATATTGTATTTATGCGAAAATTATAGTTATTGAAATTCACAAATATTATGATTCTAAGTTTAAACAAACTAATGTGATATATGAAGACTTGTGGATAATAAAACTGAGAATGAATATTACTCAAAAAAGTCAAGTACGAAAATTTCACAAGTTATCATATATCTTATGTAAGCAAAATCTATGAAACTTGCATTTTGTGATGAATATGATTGAAAATTGAGATGAAAAATCAATTCAAATCTGTCACGGCATCAATGACGAAATACCCAATACTGGATTGATAGTTGAGAATTTAACTACACCAAAACACAAAGAAGCTTTATTATAAACCCTCAAGTTGAATCATTATGAATGATTCATAATTATTACAGCTCTTTTATAAAGTGTCAAGTTAAATCCTAGTACAATTAACAAGAATTTAAAAAATTGAATCAATATTAAACATTAAATTCAAGTATACTTGAATATATTGTTATATTATAAATAAAAAAAGAATTTGTATGTTAAGTTTTTTGACTTTTATAATTCATACAAATATTCATAAAACTACGACAGATCATCGGATATTCTATACATGAGAATTAGTTTAAGCTCTTTGATAGAATCCAACCATATCTGATATTCTTTATGCACATACACACAGTCAATTTGAAATTCGAAAAAAATACATACCATTTTTTTGGAATTGATAACTGATATTAATTTCTGGTATGTAAATAGAGATACAGAGTGTGCTACTGTACGGCATTCCTTTGATGTCGGACATGATTTAAAATATAAATGTTCGGTCTTACAATTACTAAGGAAAATTCCTCGGGTCGGGAATCCAGACGTGGGGTTGTTGTGCTTGTTGGCTTGTTGTGTTGGAGCTGGGAACTTCGCCCGAAAGTGAGTGAATTTGCAAACTATTGCATTTACTCCTCAATGATTTGAATCTCTAATAGATAGGAAGCAGCCGCTGCGTGAGAGTTGGAGCAGCATTAGAATCCTTTTGCTTGGCTCAGGTAGACAGCTTCACGATGACTTCTGCACCACCTCTGAGCTTTTTCGGTAAGATATGGTGCAGATTCTGGTTACATCACGTTGCTGCCGGTGTTGTTGTTGCAAATGGAGAAACTTAGGATCAATTCGTTGTAATCTTTTCAATTCATCTTCCTCGCATTTATGCTGATCCTTTCGATCATGGACCTGCTGCTCGATCATCTAGAAATAGGAGCCAATTCTTCTATTTTGCTTCCACAGAACATTTTGAGCTGGCCTTGCTTTGAGGCCAATCGTCATCTTCAAGAACTTGAAGATTTTTTCGACCAAATCTACTGCGGAATGACGAAGTGCTTAACCGAGGAATTGCAATGTTATTTCATGTTTCGCCATTGGATGTGTCCGTGAGTCAATTAATCGATTTTGCCTCGCTTGACATTTCAGTTCGAGGACCGGAAGGGCTCTCTTTGCTGCTCGGGCCACCTTTTGATGGTGAAGTGGGAAAAAAAATCGAAAAGTTGAGTCGCAATTTTGAAGGAGACTGTTTTTTCAATGCAGCTTCCGTTCTGGGATATAGCGATCTTTGAGTGTTTTTTTGTCTAGGTCAACTGCATGGTCTTTTCTTTTAGCATTTTAGAATCCTGAAACCTCATTGACTTTCAGAATACCCACCCATGTTTTTAGCTGAGAACAACACTAATTGGTTTGCCCAATATGAAATATATTTGAACAGTGCTAAAATGAGGTATGGTGATATGCGCAGATTCTCATGCTCAGCCGCAAAGTTTACTTCAGATGGGAGCAAGTTGGCTGTGACAACATCAGAAGCTGTGGTGATTTATGACGCCAACAGCTGCAAAGAAGTCTTGAAACTCCCTATGCCTGGAGCAACTGCGACTGCCTTTTCTCCACTCGGTACCTACTTGCAAACTTTCCAGAAGCCAACAGGACAAGAAAAGAATTTAACTCTTTGGGATCTGAAGACGGGTTCCATCGCTTTTCAGCTCTTTCAAAAAACTCAATCGAAATCCAACTGGTTAGTATTACAAATAAGCTTTGGTAGAAAGTTTTGACATTTGGATTGGTTAATGAAATTTCTGTAATACAATGTTTGTTTGAGGCTCTCTTTTAAGAAAACTCCTCGTTTTCAGCATCGAAATAGAAAAAGGATTCTGCTCCTTAGACACTGACTTATCTAAAAAGTTAGTAGAGAAAGTGTACTAACTATGGATGAGATATGTCCAGGCCTGCTATTCAGTTCAGTGACGATGAGACATTGGCGTGTCGCCTGGTCACCAATGAGGTGCACTTCTATGATGGGAAGGATTTTCAGAAAGGAATAATCGATAAATTGCGGGTACCAGGAATTGCTGGTGCTCAGCTTTCACACGCTCCTGGTTCACATATCGCCGCCTACGTGCCTGAAATAAAGGTGAGCCTTGTTGATACTACCGAAATTCTCTTGCAATAGAATTTGATCAACTGTAAAAATCAATTCAACTTATTCCTTTGGATCAAGCAAGGTAAAGAGCATGTTGTGTTGAAAATATCTGCTTCAAGTATTTTGCTTCGCGTGTCAAGTGATAATCTATCACAGCATCTGGATCCCTTTGCTTATCAACGTCTTTTTTTCGTGTTCATTCTATTTGTGTCTTATGAGTAATAATTCTAGGGAGTAAGTTATCTGGCTTTCGTTGCACATGCACTGTCACACAGTTTAGTGCGTGCTCTGTGCATGTAGTTGTTTGTTCATATAAGAAGAACAGATTACTCATCTAATAAGTCTGGTCCAGGGGGCACCAGCCAGTGCACGAATTTATAAAGTATCCGACGTAAGCCAGGGTGAGCCTCTGGCTCGTCGAAGTTTTTTCAAGTCAAACACTGCCCAACTTATCTGGAATAAAGGATCAACAGGGCTATTAGTACTGGCGACATCCGATGTGGACAAGACCAATCAGAGCTACTATGGAGAAACTCGACTGCACTTCCTCACAACGAATGGGAAGCATGAAGGGTCAGTTCCTTTAAGTAAGTTTGCTCCAAGAAGTAACTCGGGTTTTAATGATGTATTTTTAATCATGAATTCATTCATCCCTACGGAGTTATATACGAGGATTGATGCTAGGAGAACAAGGCCTACATTCTGCCATTGTAAGTTAAATAGCTGCAGTCAACTAATCAAAGTTTTTTAAATTTTGTTAAATGGGGTCATATTGTGTATATCATTAGTTATGGATACTAATACATAACATAACATAGCCATGGCCAAAACAGGAGAGTTGATATGTTCAAAGTGAATCACGTCAACTTTGGGTCTCCAAAAGATTTTCTTGTCGAATATTAGTATAGGTGATATAGAAGGTATGTGACTAGAAAATAGAAAAATGTGAACGGACTACAAAACGGTGATATAGAAGGTATGTGACTAGAAAATAGAAAAATGTGAACGGACTACAAAACGGTGATATAGAAATTACGTTTTCAGAAGATAAGAAATGGAAACTCAAGAATGTCGCAGAAAATGACGAGACTTAGTAAAATTTCACACTACTTACTAAGCCATGGCAGGTATGAGTCCTAAAGGTTTTCTTTGTGTGAGTACCAGTAGCAGTTTGTAGAATATAGAATATGTATCTATAAGAAGTCATGTTGTCAAAAAATAGGTTGTGAATTATACAAAGATAATGCCTCTAGGTTCTCGCAGTTTGTATAACATATACTCGGGATAAAAACAAAATTATCTCCTTCCGCCTTAAAAATATGGATGTATGGAATTTTTTACATGTTTGTGAGAGAATGTGTTCAAAAATATCCTAAGTTTGATGCCGAGGAGGATTTATGTAAAAAGATTGTCTATGATGCCAGAGGTATGTCCTTTGGAATTCACGAAGGAATGTTGGTGACGTATTGACTTTAGACCGTGCTTGTTACTATCACAATTGCTACATCAGTTCTATCTCAGGAGTTTATCAACCTGGTAAGATTGAGGGAATTGTATCGGTTAAGATTCAAATGTTTGATGGGGTCCAATATATATTGATTCAAGTCAGACATGAGAAGAAATTTGATCTCTCTTGGAATGTTAGATTCAAAAGACCTTGAGAGTGAAACTCTAGGACGGGAGTGCTCGAGGTGAAAATACGTGATAAGATTGATATTTCTGTTTCACTGGATAAGATGCGATAAGATGCGACTAAAGAATGACACCTAAGTCTTGGAGCGGAACTTCATAAAATTAGAATAGTAAAGAGTAGAAGTTAATTTTTAACTTCTTACTATATGTATTAGTAATTTCTTTTAGGCCTTACTTCGGGTTAAAAAACCATTAATTACCTTGAGATTAGGTTTATTAAATGAGACCTCAAGCTCGTGCCATTAACTTTGTATATATTGTTAATCTGATTATAAAAACAAATGTCTGACTAGATTTTTGCCAGTGGTCATCCACTAAAAAATGTAATTATTTACTTTGAGTGTTAAATAGAGTTTGATCCTAAATGTTCTTCACCTGAGAATAAAGGGAGTGGTAGCAAGGAAGCTATGGTTTTATCAGGAATATCAACACTCTTGTTACGTTTACAATATATCCTAGTCAATGCTACAATAGAATTGAAATTTTCAAAAATTTATCTTCATCAATTCAATCTTAGCTTTTCTTTTCCTATATGGTGTCAGGTGACTAATCTGAATTTTATTTTCAATTTGATTGCAGATAAGGATGGCCCAATTCACGATGTTCAGTGGTCTCCAAGTGGTGAAGAGTTTATCGTCGTTTACGGATGTATCCTTGCAAAGACCATCTTGCTGCTTGATACATGCTCATCGATTCTCTCAAACTGAATGATGCTCTCGTGTCATCATTACTACCAATCTGGTCAACATTTTTCCAAAGATGGTTTTTGGGAATTGCACTACCTTTACATCAATTTCTGCTGTAGCGACAGATTGTGATTGTAGTATCGTATAGATTCCATCCGTTCATCATACTAGATGGTGTGGTACATTCACTTCTCGAATGTCTCTTCCAAGAATATTTCTTATGTTTATATGGTAGTGAAGAGTTCACGAAATGGATGATAGATTGTTGTATTTTCTTGCATCGTAAGATACAATATGAACGGTTTAATATTTGCTCCGAAAGAGTGGCAGGAGAGAAAACTATCTGAGAGCACAAGGAGATTATAGAGCAATTATCTAGGAAATTTGGTCGAAATTTGATAGTACAATCGTTGAATGTCGTGATCTTTCTGTGTAGAAGTTTGAGCAATATTTTTCTTGACTTGTACGTAACATTACAGTCATGCCAGCCAGAATAACACTGTTCAATAAGGAGTGTAAGTCGCTTTTTGACTTCGGAAGTGGACCTTACAACACTGTTCGTTGGAATCCTCATGGACACTGTATCCTTTCAGCTAAGTTTGTTTGTTAATTTTGTGCTTTGAAAAACTGTCGTCATTCATATCAAGAATGTAGATGCGGACGCTCTCTTACTTCTTATATGAAATTTAGATGCTCATTGCATTTTGGTGAAGGCGTTGGAAGTTGGAAGTTGGAAGTTGGCCTTGACTTCCTTTTGGGACAAGTTATTTGTTTTGCAGGATTTGGTAATCTTCCGGGAGATATGGTAGCATATTTTAACCTTCTTGCCTTTTTTCGTCGGTGAATTGTCAGCAAATTGATATAAGCGAAATATTTTTAAGCGGTGAAGTATGTTGCAATAGGATCTTCTCGAAATGTATCCTTCATTGTAACACTAGGGATTAAGAGATGAGTTTATTTGAAGATGAATCACAAACTCTAAAAAGAAAAGAATCCTAGAATGGTTTCAGAGACGTGGATTAACCATAATTTCTAACATTCTCTCCTATTTCCGGTTGGTTATTAGTAGCAAAACTAAGATCAAATTTTAGATTACACTCTTGACATTTAAATAAAATCAAAAGTATAACTTTTATGCTATTGTCATTCCATTTCTCATAATTCTAACATTCAAATGTGTTTTGAATATTAGAGCAAATAATCGTTCGCAAATTATTAAAAAATACTTACCTGTGTTTCTAGCAATACACATAAAGTTCCTGACTCAAATTGAACATGAGGTCCTAACTCATGTTCACATTTTTCAAGAGGTTACCAAACTCTCCTTAGACCATAAATGAAATCAATGATAATTTTTTATCAAATTTTTATTACTATTTTACTGTTAAATGTAGACAAATTGACTTGGATTGATAATTTATCACAATGTAGGAGCTCTTCTTGTTCAAATCTGGTGAGTTCTTGATAGTATTGATATTACAACCTCTTGGAACATGTCAGGCTTTCTGGGATCGGCAAACATTAAAGCTTCTCGGCTCTACGAAAGCTGCTTGTTCTGTGACAAGCGAATGGTCTGCTGATGGACGGTACTTCATGACGGCCACAACAGCTCCTCGTCTGCAAGTAGATAACGGGTAAATGGTCGTCATTTAGGCATTTCAGTATCCAGAGAGCTCCACAATCATGTTCATAGGAAGTCAGTATAACACGTTCCTCCTCAGTCAGCAGTACTAAAACACTAATGGTTGTTTGCTTCAATCATCTGGTAGTACACAGCAGAAAGTGAGAACCATTACAGTTTTGCAACCTTGCTCGGCAAATGTATTACTTGATGCCCTTAATGTAATATCATGTTTGTGATGTTTGTATGCAGGATCAAATTTTTCAAATATGACGGTAAACTGTACCACGAAATGAAATTTGACAAGTTGTACCAGGTTTGTATAATCTCGTGGCCTTTCAAATGGTAGTTATATTGAGTTTATCGTTTATTCATGGAAGGCTCAATTTTTGGAACGCACTCTGACTATCACAATGAACATTGACCGCCTCCTGTTTCAATTTCATTCTAGTTTCATACCAGTATTTTGAATCAATCTCAAAGTCATATCACAGTGACAATAGTAAAAAGGAAACTAGATTGAGATCTAATTAAATATTCTAATATAATTTCAAGAAATTTTGGGAACTTATAAAATAGCAGCTATTGCGATTCAAAGTTACAGATTTCGGTGTCTAGCTTTGAATCTAAATGTGAAATTAATAGTATTTTTCCAATCATATTTTCGTTAGGTATGACTTATATGTATGAGTTGTTGGATCATTGAGTTTTGGAGTGTTGATAACAATGTAATTGAATATAATGTGTTGAGTGTTTCATCGACAGTTCTAACCTTAATATCACCTCTCAAAATCTCTTTAAGAGTTGGATAACATGTTAACAATGTATAGCAAGTGCAAAAATATCTGTAAATGTGATAGGGAGAAATTATTTGGAAATAATCCATAGATTTTTACCTGAAGTTATCAAATTTTTAATATCAACCTGTTGAGGATGTCGAGTGGAACGTAGCTTGCTCCTCGGTTAGGCAATTGGACTATGCATCATTGTGGATATTGTCAAGCGCAGGCCGAGTGGCAACCTGCTGCTGTTGAGTTATATCCGGAGAGACCTCCATCTCCTAACAGCAGAGTTGTTGAGAAGAAGCAAGAATCGAAACCAGGTAGAACCCTTGGGTTGAACACAATTACAGATGAAGGGTACTTCCAGATATTAGAGTTGATAAGCTTTTAGTGTGGGGTCACCTGACCCGTGTTAGTAATTGCTTTCAGTCTCTTTGTTCTAGTGAACCTGACAGAGAAGTCTTAAATATATGTTTTGAATGTAAATTTGGGTCATTCAAATTTATGTACGTGCTCCACATTCACCTGTACATTACATGACTATTTTATGCTATTTCCTTTGTGAAGTACAACCAGCAAAGCCAACTGCTTATCGTCCACCTAATGCAAGCAATTCGGCGGCAGTCAAGGCTCAGGTAAGTTTTGGAAGTTTGCATCAATGTATTAGGTTGGATTTATGGAGAACTTATTGGTGAAAATTAGAGTTTGTAAGGACGTAATACTTGTGTATGTTTTAATGACGACTGGTGTTTGTGTTGGTGTGACAGTTATTTGGAGAAGAAGAAAAACCTCCCGGGTAATGAATTACACATTTGAAAAGCTTGTTGTTCATATCAATATGTTTCAAATTGCAATGTATGACCCATTGTAGAGAAATCATGAGGTTTGAATCTAAAAGACTTTATTTTTTGATTTTGCAGAGGAAGTTTGAGTAAAAGTGCTATGAAGAATCGGAGAAGGAGGGCTAGTAAACAAAAAGAATCATCTAACGATGATAATTAGCATTCTCTAAACCTTAATTCACCCGGATTAGAATTCATTCGGGTTCTCCATTAGATTACATTTCACAAATTTCAAGCATATTTAATTCTATCATTATATCCATCATCTTCATATTTGATTTTCGAAATTATATCAAACTCGTTATGAATGATGGAAATGAATATAATTTTTACTTTCAGGTGGCATTTGTACTGTTTCTTGAAAACATTTTCAATGTTATCTAATTGTGTTGATCAGATTAATGTGAACTTTAACATATACATTTGTCCTTTTTCGACAAAATCTGAGTTTTAGGGTTTTAATCGTAGTTCCTTGATGTATCATCAAGGACATAGCTTTGTGCAAAATGTCTTGTCTTTTTTGGTAAGACTGCATGTTGCAAGTCTCTTGCTAAAATTTGCATCTAATTTTAAGGATAAAATTCTACAACTGGGGCCAAGTAAAACACTTACAATAGTGAGTAAAGACCATATTCTGGTAGATATCATGTTGAACGGCAAGAATTGAAGCTTTTGTTGCAATACCAAGTATTTCTCTGTAATCTTGACTTGGAAGGAGTTTTTAAATTCAGAGTTGATAATAAGATTCTATGATGCAAATAGCGTGCTTACTGTTAATTTTATCAAATGCATCTGCGAACTCTTTCCACATCTATTTTTAAACATAAGCTTCTCTAATATGTTCATTCCTGTGTACGTATCAAAATCATTACATGTTGGCGATGGCTTCTATGATGGATACACTTGCCTTTCTAGTATATCCATTTGAAAGTTGGTATAAGTTTTATAATGATTATGAATCACTAGATCGAAATGGTTAAAAAAATTACCTCCACCGCTAGTTGCAAATCAATTTGTAAGCATCCAGCGAGTCGAGCAAAAAATATTATGCTCAGAGAACTATATCTGAGATTTCATTGTGATTGAAGTGCATGACAAGAATTCGTTGTCGAGATGGTCAATAAACAACTTGTCATAGATTGATATAAATTATATAAGAAAAATATCGTATTGAATGCAAAAATCATGAATCCAAATGATAACATGGATTATAACATTAATACTTTTATTTACTAATTACAAAAGGACATGAGATTAAATTCGTCTAAATTTAAAACTAATTGTTAAATGATTTTGGATTGTGAAACTTACACTTTGATTCGATTAATTATATATGTAAAGATTGCTTTGTGAGAAACATGTGATAAATAAAATTGAAAAGTTTTTTAAAATTACATTTATCTTTTGTACAGTCTAATTTGAGAGATTGGATAATTATCATACTTATTTTTTATGAATGACTGAAATTATGCAGATATCATATGATATGAATGATATCTCATGCAATTTTGAAAAAAAGAAAAAAGAAAAAAATATCTGTAATGCGTTTAAACAAAATTATGGAAAAGTATGAGAATGAAAAATACATACGTTACCTTTGAAATATATTATTCATAAGTGCGGATTAGTTCACAAAAATACAAAAAACCTTATGAAACAATACTAATTTGTCAACGAAAGTTTTCATGAGCTTTTTCACATAATGAGAATTTAAACTTAAGATTGAATGGAGTTAAAATAAACTTGAAAATCTAAAAATCCGGAATTAACTCCAAAAATTCTTTTCTCAACATCTTACGGTTGCCATAACTTATGTTGTGGCAAACTCTATAATCTATATCATTAATTTTAGTCAGGTTCTAGAGAAAAATTTAAAAAATATTTGTATCTAAATTGGGGCTGATCAGGAATGAATCATAGTCAAAACATGATAGATAAAAATATAAAGAGAAAAAAGTACAAGTATATTATTGAATCAATATTTGCAAAGGAACACAAAATCTAATCTAATCTAATATTTTTTATAATGATTTTGTCCACTGCATTAGCTCGATTTGATTTATCATCAATCTTGACAAGTTCAATATTTTTTATTAAAAACCGCATTTCAAATAAATTCAAACATGATTTTAATGTGTTTCAATCTTATATATATCCTTGATTTGCATCAAGATGTAACATTATCTGAGAATCACAATAAATATTGACTATCTCATATTTTAGTTTCATCTTAGTGATGAATATTTTCAATTAAATAGATTCTTTTGCTACTTTTGTTGTTGCTTTATATTCAACTTCCGTTGTACATTAATCTGATCGCTTTTGCAAAATATATTTTCAACTAATGCATACATCATCACATGTAAACTTATATCCGATTGTAGATTTTTTTCTTGTTTATATCAACGTATTCTAACAAGAATCTTACATTATCCAACAAGTCATCAAACAAGTAATGATAATTTATAATTCATTTCTTTACATTTCAATGCACAATTCTTGGATTTGACATGTATATGCTCATCTTTGCTATATTGAAAAGAATATCAAGTCTTGTGCATATCATCAAAAATAAAAATCTTACCACAACTATGTCATAAAGAATTGATGACATAGTTGTGGATAAGATTCTAGTTGAATAATTTTTTTCTTCTCAATAATATCATTTGGACATTGAATTGCAAAATTTGTAATGTGATGACAAAGTAGCTCGGACTCCTTTAGAATCTGCCGTGTGCAACTTGTCAAAGTCACATTAAACTCAATTGTTTTGATTCAACCATATTTTTTTATTATCCAAATTATTGTGAACATCCATATGAATCCTAAACATCCATACATAATATGTAATGATATTTATTCACATACCTCATCTTTAAATCCAATTTCAATTGGTTTTTGAATCTAATGACATCAAAAAATAACCAAGTTGCTATTATGATCATGAAGATAAAACATTCTCTTATACTACCGTCTCTAGTCGCAAATGGATGGATGGATCAAAGACCGAGACATGGACTTGCTGAAATCGCGAAGTGTTATGTGATAAATTTGACAATATACTTTTGAACAAGCCTGACACGTGAAAGGATTCGTGCTTGTTTTGCTCTTTTGCTTGCTAGATCCGACTTGCTGTAAATCTCGTGCGGATATTTTCAGAGTTCGAAATGCGATGACGAGTGTTCAGACGAAAATTTTATTTCAAATGGTTTTACATAATTATAACTATGTTGTTATTTTGAAATGTATTTAATTGATGTTATGATAATTCTTTTTCGGCGTGTGATTCTATTTACAACATAATCATATGTGTTTTTATCTGCTTAGAGATGACTTCATTGTTGCTTATAAGCGTAGAGCTTAACAGCGCGATAAGAACTAGTCGTAGATAAAAAAACAGTTACTAAATTATTTTTTCTGGTTATGGTACGTGAAGTTTTGAATAGTGTTTAATAGCTACAGCGAAGCTTTCCCTCTCTCACATATCAAGAAGTTGCTCCCGTGGATTGTCAAATTTTACTGCAATGTTGTAGTCTAGTTAATTATTAGTCTGCTTGACTAGTCGTCTGGATGTGTATTGTGCTATGGTTCTTGCCTGTAGCTCAATAGTTCACATTTTCACCATCTTTTAATTACGGGATACAAATTTGCATTAACCTTGTGTTGTGGGATGAAATTCACACTACAGGTTTACCCATTTGGCACTAGATTACAAGGTTTCAAGTATAGATGAATGAACAGTTCTCTTCTTCCTGTACAATTAACGCTTTTTTTGTCCGAAACAGTTGGAAGCAGCCCTGTTTTATTCTTCACTAGAGCTTTATCCAGTGTAAGTGAAGAAACCTTTTCGTTAACAATTGGGCAACAAATTGTATTTACGCGTATTATCCTTCTCGACTTTTTCTTCTATTTACAAGATCACTGCTATCATGCTAGACTTCACTCACATTCTCTAATATAATTATGAAAGAACCCGTCGGTTAGCTGTCAAATTTGGTGTTCAAAACAATTAAAACCTGACACTTCACTCATCGATATTGTGTACTTCGACAATAGACACCACGGAATCATCTTATTATTAGTGCAATTGCTGTAGGTTTCCACTTCTCCTCGATGCTTGGCATGTAACTGAGCGCGTACATGAAACAAAACTAAATAACCAGTTTCATGTACACTTTCCTCCCCGGCTTCCACTATGATAGTGCAATATCACTATCTTAGTGGATAGTGCGATATCAATTAAGTTGACACATACAGGGATAAGTATTACCATAGAAAGATAAATAGACATATTCTCAGCAATACTCCAGACTGCACCAGATTAACACAGCAGGTTCTTTCGTTTAGCTCTGACTCACACACCTACAGACATCATTAATGTCGAAGACCCTTAAAATTGTACGCATCATTCATGATACACGACTCAACGACCATTCTCTCACATGTTTCTAGGTGTGAGCATCAACTTGCTCCGTTCCAAGTCCAGCAGCCAGCCATATTTAAATACAAAACTTTTCCACCGTTAAAATAGTATGCAAAATTTGAAGGGTCTAACTGAAAAGGAGATATGGGCAGAACCTAACCTGAACTACAAAAACCTAAGCCTGAACACATCTTTTCCGGTCTCCCACGTATTGACTGGCATGACCAACATATTTACAGCCAAATTTACTTCGCCCAAACAAAAATATTGAAACAAATGGGGAATTTCAAACCCTGGCTTTCCTTCTATCTATATTCCCCTTGCGTCCGAAGCTAAATGTACAAAGACACGAGGCTTGCGTCTTGTCAAGTAAGCTTTGCAGCATACAGTGGAAGTTGAGAGGCGTATAATTTACTAAAATTCCTTCGGCAGAAGGTTACTAGCCAAAAAAGACCATCTTTACCTCCAAAACTGCGTCCCGCGGCCTCGTGAAACGTGACGCCTGTCGATGATTATGACGCACTTAAAGACGGTGAAGAGACGCATTAAAAGGTAAGGCCGACGTGATCCAACTCCCACAAACAGTAGGATCCTGCCGGACATTTTCTCCCAACAACTTGCGTATTATACCTCAAATGTTGAATGGGGAAGATTGAGAGCAGGGATGGGTCATTCGTATCCTTCTTCTAAACTCTTCTGCTAGTAGGCGACTGGGTGCAATCAGGAGCAACCCCGCTAGTCAGTTTAGCGTACTTAAGAGAGTATAAACCTAAGTTCACCTCTCCTGTGACATGCAGACTCTATGTAACTCATACCAGTATGAACTACAACGCTTGAGCCGAATACCTGATAAATGTCAACGGATATGTAACCCCAGTTCAGTATGTCAACGGATTCGTCACACCCTAAAAAACGGTGGACCAAGGATATCTACGCCCTGCCTAGGGGGAACCCATCTGCTAGATGACATACCACATAGATTAACTCATTTTGAAACAGCAGTCAAGAGATTCCGGCTTGTGAACACTACTGATAAACGTGGCTGGTTGCTGACTAGCCAGATCAGACTTTTGGGTAAAGACATCACTATGTAGACGCCACAAATTTCTTAGTAGTACATACAGCGTGCACGAACTTGTGACACCAGTGACAGCAGACCTTGCAAGCCTGTCTCTATTAAGACAATTCTTATGTCAACGGCAGGTCTACGGATTGTAGGATGGGATATTCAGTAAAATGCTACATGTAACTGATAACGACTTCAAATTTTCTCCATGTCCACTCTCATCTGGTGAGGAACGATGATCGGAACTGCTCGAATGTAGCACAAGAATCCGGGAACAATCTTTGATTTTCATGCAGAGATTTCGTCAACGAACTTATTTCACTCTCAAGCATATAGATGTCATCAGCTTGATGCTTCTCGGCCCACTCTTCGACTCCGCTGCACAAGGAGTTTACGGCTTGTGTGAGTATTGACAACCAAACAATAAAACTTGTCTACGACGTAAACTTATACGGAAGACAGACAGCGTTTAAGAGAATCTAGCATAGGGTAAGAACAATGGATTGTCTGGAACTGTGAATTTAGAAAAAAATTGTACCTCAAGTCCTCATTGCTGAAGTCGCTGATATCACAAAACATAACCTTCATAACCGGTTCCAAGAAGGCAGGAGGAAATTCTTCTTTCCCCAATCCTACAAGCAACTCACATTCTGGGGATGACACCATGAAATTATCATCGTACTCATCATCCAGAAAGACACACGCTTCCTTCCTCTTAAGAGGGTCCTGCGCGTCATCAGAAAGAGAACTGACTTCACCAAGGCAAAAACCCGAACAGTTCCACGATTCGTGGTTAAGGAGGACCAACTGAAGAAGCGGCATTTTTGTATTTGCCCCACGAATAATGTATCGATATGAAGAACTCTCTTCAGTGTTCGCCAAAAGTTCATTGCAGAACACCCGGTCTAAAGTGTGATACCTGAATGAAAGACATTTATCTTGTCAGCCATGAATAGTAAAGAAGTATATTCACGCAAAGAAGTGAATCTTATCATACTGAAATGCTCGTCTGCCACTTATCCACACGTTGCATATACAACTTGTTACCAAAATTTCATAGATCCAACAAAGAAGGACAAGGACCGAACCGGAATATATCGGAAGGTCCACCGGCGGACTCGTCAGTAGAGACATGACACTTGAAGAGTTGTACTCCCTCCTCTTCTCCTGAAGTAACTCCAATGAGAGAAGAACACGAGTGGCAATTGACAGGCGTCCAATTTGGGGAGTTAGAGGCTGCGCTGGGACCGCTCATAAATCCATTAGCCATGGGTTTACAAGTGGCAACTGGGTCTGTCGATAACTTCTCCCTCTTGACCCCATGCTTACCACCGCAATGAGTGACACATGCGTGTCGTTGCTCAATGGTTTCTACCATAGAATGATCCCCTCCAGTCACAACAAGTTTTTGCTCTGCGCTTTGCTTGCTCTCCACTGGCACATCATCTGATAAAAAAACAAACAGTGAGAAATCATACGCATAACAGGCACCGCCGATGTCAAGAGATATGATATATATGATATGTTCTGACGTCAAAACGGAATGAGCAGCTGGAGTCAGGGACAACATCCTAGCACGATTTGCCATATAATCTACGAAGATATATTAACATGATCCAAGCGCCCTCACTAATATCCCCGCACATAACTGAACATATGCAATGAAATAGTACAATGGAGTGAAACAAACGCTGGTTCTTTATTCATGCCCTTGTTTATACAAACCATCCATTAAGACTATGCCCACAATTTAAGGGAGAAGCCAATTGAGATCAAGTTTGATCAATGGGAGGTTCCTCACTTGGAAAATTGAATAGAACAGACTAATGAGGCAAGTTCAAACAGAACACAACAGTCCCAGCTCAACCGACTTACCTTGCTCTCTGTACTGAGTAACGTTTCAGAAGTATAAGAATGATGTTCATTACCTTCGGCATCCTGGGAAGTAACAACACTTCCACATGTATCAGCTTCGCTAGCATCAGTCGCCAGCGCTGCAGGTACACAGCCAACTACCAGTCCATGGCCAGACCGTCCTCTCGTAGTCTTACCCGTCTCGTCAACAACTTCAGGAGATAAGACGGCGGATCTTGAGAGCTCCTCTTTGACACCAACATTTTCCCCTCGGGAACTTTCGATGGTCGAGGATTTTCGATGGGGTTGAGTACCGTTGACCAGATCATCAGAATGAATGATGCAGGTAGTAGATCCCACAAGACACAAACCTCTTGTAGGAGTCATGAGTTGTTGAAATTGAGCCACAAGGTTTTCTGTTTTAGCCCCATCTGAACAGCAGCAAGTTCCGAACCAGTGGTCTGCAAGTTCCCGCCATTCCATAGATGGCAGTTCCAGAATGCGGCTGGTACAGAGCAAGAAAGGCGTGTTAATTTTGATGATCCAGGGCAAGACCTTAATTCACAGCTTCCACCTCAACTCGCCTCCGTTCCAAATTCACGAAGCACAAGACCAGCAACAATTGTCAAGGCCATGTGAAATTCTGAAAGTCGGTATGAGAACGAATTCTCATCATCACAGCCCCCTTCCTCACTTGAAAACTGCAACGTAACCCAGAAAAGGAGTATGCTCTACATCACTTTCAGTCGTATGAAGTAGAGCGATGGAAACCAGGAAGATTCAGGTTGGTTCACATGCAAGATATAATGAGACTTCCAGAGGTTTGACGTTTCCCTAACTTTCCTCTCAAAACCTCCGAACAGCCTCCCGTTCAGGAAGATGTTCGGAAGCGTAGAAAGATTCTAGGTTCAATTGGGCATGAGAAATAGTGAGATGCAAGGCAAATAAAACCTTACATAGTTTGTAGGCCCAATCCCTTCCCTTCATATCATCCCATAATCAGGAACATTATCCTGCTCATTCGAAGCATGATTGTGGGGGATATTGTAATAAATGGTTCCAGCACCCTTGTTTCCCTGTCCGCCCTTGACGAAAACTCCAATTCATTTACTTCCTGACAAGGAATAAGGCAAAGTTGGCGGAATTTGATAAACAAAGTACCTCAAGCTACCGTCGGTCAGTTTGGCACTGCACTTTCTGCAGAAGAAGGTTACATTGGCCTTTGACGCGAGTAATTCTGCATCTGCATTAGAAACAAACCATCACTAAACCGTTAATGGGCAGCTCCCATTATTGAACATCAGAACATCAATATGTCTGGTCCCATCTACATCCTACTCCAGTAAATATTCAACACTACAAGATAGAGCTAGACGCACCAACTGATATACACCAGGCCTGTAATGAGCTCTATAGGTGTAAGATTGAACTCCGCTTTAAAAATTCAACTAATGGGAGAGGAAGTCCTTCAATATGCCAGATCATCCCATAAGTTGGAAGCTCTCACTACGCTAGTCACTTACGCACTTGAGCAACACAGGTCATGTCTGAAAGGAAAACAAAGGACAAAGCCCGCAGACTTGAGAACCATCACGCTTACCTGAGGACAGGGAAAAGGGAGCCTCGTCTCTCTTCTGAGCTTCCGTTTGCCTAGAGCCATCCCTCATGATGGGGATCCCTCTATGAGAAAAACCTAAGAAGGTAAGACCATCCAGGAAGCTGCCACCAAATGGAAGAAGCTTTAGCTTCACCTCGATAAAATCAGTTCGACACTGGACAACAAAGGGGGCAGAGTGATCGATGAGGCAAAATGGCATGGGCACATAGACTGTGTGCGAGTCTCCTCCAGGAGAATTCCACCGGCACACCACGACAGGGGAAGCAGAAAATGGGGAAGTCGGCTGAAGGTAGGCCCGAAGCGAATGGCATCTTAGCGGAAATGATAATGCTGGATTGAATAAAAACAGCCTCATCGAATGCACGTGTGTAAGGGCCTCGTAAGCGAATCTCCATGATCTCTGTTCCAACATCATCTGGGTTTGTCCGGTCTCCCCTCTGGACTCCTCCTCTTGGTCCGGTCTGTCTTCTGCCATAATTGGTATCAACAGCGACTCCCTCTCGAAAATTCCCTTTTCGTCTTTCAGCCCCTTTCGAGATACAGCGAAGTATTTTCTTCCTTATGATCGCCCTTCTCTATCCACAGATTCACTTCCCTACACCGTAATACAATCGTCTGGTTCTTTCCTTGACTTGTCAGACGCTGTGTGATGACTCAAGATGCATCAACGGCTGCCTCCGCGGTTTAGACCAGAGATGTATTTCGGAAACCTGAAACATGAAGCAGCTCAGTCCCCACACGGAAAGACAAGGACGATGAACACATTTCAAGTCACCCGCTGACAAGATATAGAAATTGAAACACACTTCTCCACTCATAAATTCTTGCACTGCGGTAAGAAGGAAAGAATCCCACTCAACACTCCGACCAGAAGAATGCTAGGGCTCCATTGCAGTGTCACTCACCTCAGTTTCTCAAACCCGAGAACTTCGTAAAGCAGGTGCGAACGAATAGACAAATCTGGTGCCGACTGCCAAAACTTTCCGTTCGGAGGAGGGAATCAACTAAAGTGATCTCTGCTTCGTCCCCGCCTCTGTTGCTGCCTCGCTCTAGTAGTATGTTGACTAAATTTTAAATCATTGGGAGAACTATGCGAATCAGTTTCCTGCTCAGAACGTGAAGCGCGTGTAGCATCTAAGCTCGCTTACCCTCCTCTTCCCTTCCTCCACCTCGCCCAATTATCCTTCCGCCACCGCGGGCACCAGACTGGAAACCGCAACCTCACCCTCAAGAATGCCGCTCCGCGCCGTATCTGCCAACCCCCGCTCCTGCTTCTGCTGTCCACGGAGAAATTCACGATCTCGAGCTCTTTGAGCAAACAAATGGATGATGGTGTATATACATGCAACAACAGAGGAAGCTGGAGTAGGCAAAAAGATTATCGTTTTGGCTGAAAGGAATTGCGGGGGTTTGAAATGACAGCGGCGAGACTGATCGCATGACGAAGGATCTACAGCAGCAGCACCAGGGTCGCGCCGGGGACGGGAGGGCAGGGCAGAAGATGGAAGGGGGGCAAGAGCTATGAGCGAGGAGGATAAGCCAGCCCGTCAGATAGTCGAGAATGAGTGAATGGACCGTGGCAGGGAAGGAGGTCTTCGTCTTGAGAGGAGAAGGGCGACCGTGGAGCATGAGAGGACGAAATTAGGGCATGGAAGCAGGGGCCACGTGTCATCAGCAAGCCCGACGTCACGTGCCGGACAAACAAACACCGCCACGTGTCTATTTCACCTCACGGTGCCGTGCAACAGGCCATTTGTCAAACCGCATGCTACCGCCCTAACCATCGCGCCCGCCGGGTTTCGCATCCTCGTTCTTCCCGTTCCGGGTTTCCTACGTGGCCTCCACGACTTGAGTTCTATCATCCATGTCACTATGGACATCTAGTACTTTATGACGTGGAAAGCCCTACATTGCTGACCTGTAACTTTCACCTCTCTATAATGTGTTCACTGAGGCGGACTATTGCACCCTCGTACATGGATTCTATTTCATTTCATGTTTGAATGGGTCTCGCCGATCCATTTTGAGATACTCCTCGGATGGAGCTGAAACACGTTCAGATGCAACACATGTAAATCACCTGAAAAATCCCTCGCGTGTAAAGACATGGTGCACAGACAAAGTCGAACGCCCTGAACAAGTGGACACTCTCCTCGATGATTTGGCTACAGAAGCTGATGAGGTGGTAACGGGAACGGATCACGGGTGGCAAAAGCCGGCGGCAGCCTCTCTCTATAAGAACTCTCCGTAGAAGGATATTTACAAGATGACAAGTGTACAAAAATAGAATTCACAAAATAATGAGGAACTTATAGGAATGCGGCACATAAGCAAAATGGAAGTACATTGGTTTGATTGCTGTCCGAAGTTGCGATTATAGGTGTCCATGTATGGTATCTCGGAGACAAGTGAGTCAGACCGGTCCTTTTCGACGGGCTGCAGTTCGGGCAGTCAAATAATGCCAGGGCGGTCACATCTGAGGACACGCGTCGAGAAAACAAACGCGGACGCGTATGTACAAACATATGCAATTATGCTGGGAAATCTTGCTCCTCTCAATGCCCATGACGTTATCGGGTTGCCGGTACCTGCCTGGATAATACCTTCAGTATGATACCATATCTGCTGGTCAGTTTACTTTCAGATAAGCGAAACCCTTCATTTCGGCCCTCTGGCCCACATCTGGGTTTGAACTTACTCTTCTACCTTTACCTTGTTGGTTGGATCACAATCCAATCTACAGGTTTAATTTCATATACGAAGGTATGTTTGCATTCAATTTCTCAAATATTATTGACCAATCAGCCTTGCTGCTATCACTTAATCTTGTTATTTTCGCTTACGGGCTATTACGGGCTTTTTTAACTTTTTCATGGGGTATTCCTTTCCTGAAGTGTAGAAAAAGGAGCGAGGATCACGCGAAATTAGGAACCTTTTTCAATTACAACACCATAGAAAAAGGGAGATGGATGGAAGGAAAGAATGCTACCCACGGTCCATAAGTGTGAATGCAGCACTTCCTTCAGTAACTAATAGTGAGAGAGGGGCCAAGTAGATTAAAAAATTGCAATTTTGACTTACGATTTCTTCAATTGAGAGAAGGTAATTCAGGCAAGGGACAGTTGAAGAGTATGAGGGAATGTGTACAGTATTTTTTTAATTTTGATACTTCTTTCACAGGCAGATCCAAATAAAGAAGAAAGAAGTGGCAACTCGTTGTTCAGATTATAGACTCTCATTGGTAAAAGTAGCTTTCATATTGTTGAGTGGAAATTTTATGTGCATTCACTATATATCCCTCTCCAGATATGGAGTAATGTAGCGAAAAGAATGGCAAGATTCAAATCTTGTAAGGATAAAATCAATTGGTAAAAAAAAAAAATCACAATTGTGCAATTAATTCCTACAGAACCTAAATATTTTGAATATATCCGTTTATACATACTTTGCCAATTTATTTTTCCATGTCTTAACCACAGGTAGAGAACAACTCGACCTAACAATCTCTGCACAAAAAATATTAATACAATATACTTATTTCTCTTGGTTTGAATCTTCTGGTTTGAAAATTTCACCACATCTTCAAGAACCTGTCGTGTTAACTAGATAAATTCTATGTTCAGTTGCATAGATGTAGAAAGAGATTTCGCGACACCTCCAAAGACTCCACCGTTTGGCGTTTATAAACATCGCTCAACGCTTATAAGCCATTTATGACATTGTTACAACCAGATTCCATCCAGAAAACTATGAGTGTAATTTTCCTGTTTAAACAGATAGTAATTGAAGCTTCCACTGCCCCAAATAAATTGGTAATATGTACTATCTCTGATTATGGTGAGGCATTGATTCATGCGATCATTCACATATTACCTCAAGCAACATGAAGTCAACCGTAAGTTACAATCTGAAGATCGTTCCTTACATCCTGTAAGATTATTCTTGATATTTCCTTACATCTATTTATGTTTGCAGGTCAACATAACAATTTGTCTAAATTTTTCATCACTAAGATAATAATTCTATTTTTTGAAAACATTGACATTGTTTGCAATGATTTATTTAATCAATAGAAAAAATACAGAATATTGATAAATATGATTTATCATGTATTATTTTGATCAAAATCTTATAATGTATTGAAAAAGTACCCAAATCAGTAGATATCTCACCATGTACATAAGGAGAATTTATATTCATTTATACTATATTCAAATCCTTCTCCTTGGAAATCAAAATCGGTGATGATCTTGAGTAAATTGGAGTACATATCATCATAATAAAATTTTCAAATAGAATACCAAATCACTTGTGTATTCAAAAGTCTAACTATCTTAAGGGTACTGATATGCCTGATAATAGTCTATAACAAAAAATGTGAAAAAATTCAAAAAAATTACAAATTAGAGAAAAAACAAAAAAAAAATTTGTAGATAAATCGGATTAGATTTTCAATGTGTATGAATCATTCAATGTATTTATTTATATTTAATTTTCCTTCCAAAAAAAATCAAGCAAGGAGTCTTGAGTTTGCTATCGATATGAATAAAAAATATCTATAAATTGAAAAATATTAATGATATATTAGTTATAAGAACAAATAAATTAGATTTGATTTTATAATTTGTATCTAAGAAACTTCAATAGAGAACTGATTTTCATCGCCTAAACTTTGAAAATTGCATCTAGTTTAAATGTGAGATATGATGTGATTTTTGAAGCACGTTATAACAATAAAGATCTAGATTTTTTATAATTGATTTCTAAGATTTGGAAATACATATATTACTTTCAAGTTTGAAGCTTTGTTCTTGGAACTGAGCACAAAATAAGATGAGAGGTATTGAGAGATTTGAGAAAAGAATATAATAGAGAATTATGATTAATTTTGGGAAGTTGTGGTGAGAACGTAAGCTGTTAATTTTGCATGATATATGAAATATTGATATATTTGAACTTGAAATTGATGACTAGAGACAAGAGCAATATTTCTGTATAAAAATCATCTTCAAATTTTGTACTACAACCGTGAGGTCAATAGTTCAACAGAAAAAACTGTACCTATTATTGATAAAATGTTGTGCAACTCAGAGAGGAATACAATCATTGAAAGAAAACTCATATATCTATCGTCAAATTTTGATGATACTTTTAGTAAAAAAAACCGAAAATTGTATAAGTTTATTCCTCGGTTACGAATTATTCATAGTTTGATCTAAATGACTTGTTAATCAAGAATTATTCATGACTGGAAAAACTCTCATGAAAGGAAAAAATATTCCATATTTAAAAATATATTTATGATTCATATTTTTTATCACCAAATTTTTTTTAAATGGAATAATTTATTCCTACAGTATATACATATCATAAAATGTATACAGTGACTTATATCATTTTAGGATATCAAACCTCTGTAGTAATGACAATTTTGCAATACATGGCAGAAATGAAAAATACAGAGAGAGAGAGAGAGAGAGAGAGAGAGCTAAGCTTCACAGAGGCTAGGTAAAAGGCCCGAAATGAATCACAGAAAACATACAGTGGCCGAAGTTTCTCAATTTTCACATGTGGATGAAAGGGATATGCATCTCTCGAAGTGATATTACTGTGCACAGATTACCTTTTTCCCCGGAAAGAGGTCGCTGCAAGAGGGTAGGCTTTGGCTTGGGAGTTCAAAAGCACGGCGCAGAAGACTACAAAGGCGTGGTGCGTTGCACCACCCTCTAGAAGAATCTTCCGGTATAGATCAACGCACAGTGAGAGTGTTCCTTCAGTAACTATGCATTGCATTCCATGCAGTAAACCAGGACTGTTTTTGTACCAAGTAATACAGCAACAACCAGCAGAGAGACTGATACTGTTTGGTGGTTTTCCATACGTCGAAGATATATTCGGAGACAAAGACGGAACATCCAAATCAATCACAAACCGTGGACGCCGATTGTCCGTGAAATATTCCGAGTCGTCATGGTTTAAGAGTTTGCTGAGGTTTAGAGTCCAGTCGGAGTAACAGTGCACGTTTTTTTCGGTTGATTGGAATGACAGGGGACGGTTGGCAGTTTATTGTTATGACGTGCTAAAATATAGGTTGCTGTCTTAAAGGTTTCTGTCTAGCCATTCTGGGCTTGGAGAAAACTCTGAATTCTCCATTAAGTGAGATTTTTGTCCTATCCCCAAATTCGAATGGTTTTATGGTTTTATGGTTTAAATTAGAAATGAAGATAATTGCCTTGTCGCCATCCTGCGCGGTATTCGTCCACAGGAGAGTTTCAGGACCACTAGATCTAACCGGCTGCTTCGTGGCTGGTTTACTTTCAGGGTCTGGACTCCGGTCGTCCGCGACCATTAAAGTAAGAAAATTTACAAGTTTTCTTGTCTTGCAGCTTCTTCTTCCCCGCGCGTGCGATGCGATGACACCGAAAATCCAAAAGAGGCTCTGAAGAGTAATTATCCCTTTGTAGGCAAGCAGGTGGCAAAGTCTTTGCCGTTCACATCCTTCACCCTCTGTGATTGGACGGCAGTTGATTTCTTCGTTCTTTCAGACGGCAAAGTGAAAGAA